TAAGAATTTCATGAACTAGTACATAGCATTCTCCGACACTTTGGAGAAAATCTGTAGTCGTGTTTCTGAGAAATTGCATTCCAAACTTCAATCGTGAGTTACCGAAAGTAACTTGTGACAATCTTTTATCCAGGGATCTACATAAATTATAATTGTCATTATTTTCGCAGTTGGAGTATATGCCAGACGAGTAACAGGTATATACATACAAGGATACCTAAATTAGCGCGTTGAACTTGTATATTTATCTCTCTCCAACGCATTAATTCTATATACGTCAGTACCAACGCCTGACAAAGTTATGTCTAAATTTAATAATGGCTCTATGACAAAATATTCATGGAATGTATTCGTAGATTTTTATTTACTTCATTTCATACATTAGCATTGATGTTTTGTTTTTCATACATTAGTATTGATGTTTTTTACTAAATACCAGGAATAAATATTTAATAAAAAACTATTTCATTTAAGCTTAACCAACTTTTAGTTGCTCGGAGCTAATTTTGGAACGCTTCACGAAATATTTTCATAGACAGTAAATGCAACCCTGGGTGCATCATTAACGAGCTGAAAAACCAAACAAATAAAAAAATTCCATCTGAACCAATATTCCCAAAAATTATAAAGCAAAACAAAAACCATTTTTTCCAATTTATGCACTGTTATTTTTATTATTGCAACCCAATTTCGCAGCTCTTCAAACATTTTCCACTATGCTTTTAGGGCTAGTAGTTTCCGACCCCACTTCCTCGTTTTTTTTCAATTCTGAATTTAGGCTAGGCTTCATGGGAACTTACTGTGGGTGCAAACAGACCACATTTTGTAAACTGAATTGTGATATTTAATTCTATTTTATAATGAAAAATGAATTTAATGTGCAATTTTTTAAGTTTACTAGATGTAAGACAACTTTTAATTTTCTTTATATATTGCATGCTTTAGTTTTAATTCTGTTTAAGTTAAGTTGTAAAGGTGAAAATAGGCCTCCTGGGCAACCGAGCACATTAAAAAAAAATCGGTAACGCGCGTAAAAGCATACCTCACAAGTGGTGTGGAAAATGCAAGAACAAATATAAATGGAATAATTTTCGAAATTATGAAATGGTTATTGGTATTTTCCATCTCAAAGGGGATGATTAATTTGAACGTTATTTAAGCTGCCTTTACACGGTCGATTTTTGTCGTTTAACCAAAATCTACGCGTGTAAATTGCAATTCAACCGTAAAATGTAAGCGTTTTGGCTAGTCGATATCTTAAGTAAATTTTCCAGTCGACAGAAATCGACCCGTGAAAAGGCAACTTCAGGAATTTTTTAATTTTCTGTTTTTTTTTGCTTGGGCGTCTTTTGAAGATGTGCCAAATTATATTGTCGACTTAAATACAAAACAACAATTTCTTTAAGCCATCTTGTGCAGCAATTTGTTGATCTTATCCTCACGGCTACCGAAATCACCAACCTCAACGTAGTGATTAGCCTTCTTGCGCCAGCCTCGGGTTGATGTGTTGAGCTTGAATAGCAACAGGAAGTTGGGGGCTTTCTTGAAGTGAAGTGAATCAACGCACTGAATTTCGTGCGCTTCGCGAAATTTGCGTTCGATCACAAAGCAGAGATTGGGACACGCTTGACCATTCCACGTTTGTACATCAATTCACAAACTGATTTAAGATTTCGATAACCCCATATAGGGGGTTCGGCATACGTAGCATATTAATGGTTGCCTTGCTCAATTTGATGAACACACCGTTTTAATGTGGCGAAGACAGAACTGTAAAACTACGCACTTTTTGTGCAACTTTGTTGATACCGCGGATGCGGATCACAAAAGCCAATTTGGACTTTTCAGGCCCATCGAATTGGCCGCATTTCTTTGCCACATAGCGTTACTCCATCTCACGGCGTCCATCACGGAGTTTTCTTGTTTGATATTTCTCAGCATGTACCAAGTTTTCACATTTACGGAGTGCAATCACAGCAGAGCGCTTTAGTTTACGTTTGATCAGGGTAGCAATTTGCTGACCTGCTCTTGCAGAACTGCAGCTTCGGCTCGGGGACAGGAGGCAGCTTCCTGGAAGGTTGTCTGCCCTTTGCTTGCGGTTTCTTACCGGCCGTGATGGCAGTCATCTTAACTTGTTACTTAGCACGTTGAAAAGGCGAAAAAAAGTTCGCCAAATGTTTGGAGCACATCGTAAATGAGCCACTCGATTTATAACATTTCTATAAACAATTTAATTAAATACTTTTTATACATAGATATGCTGCAACCATGCACTTACTTTCCCAAATTCCATCCTGCTTATCGGCATAATTTTCTAAATATGCCTGCTACTTCATTACTAATTACTCAATTTTCCAACTGCGCCTTCTTTGTTGGCTCGACATATCCTAAAAAGACAAATTTACATTAAACAATAGAAATCGCAAAAATTAGCAAATAAAATACTCGCTTTGTTTTGTTTTGTTGTCAAATTTCTGAGAAATGTGAATTCACCACGATGCGATACAGAAAGAACAAGGACCAGGGATGTAATTTTAAGTAAATCTATTTTCAGTGGCAAGGCGCAGAGCGTTCGGGGCAGCAATATTAATTTGTATCAAATAGTTATAACATTAAACGGTGGTTCTAATACATTTTTTGATATTATTAACCAGAGTACATACATTATATGGTATTTCTTTCAAAATTAATGTACTATATGAACTTTTTTTTCAAATATTTCTTAAGTTTCTTTCATGAGTGCTGAAAAGCAACCATGCGTGTAAGAAATTGTGTGCTACCTAAAATTTCACCTCTGGAAACTTTATCCCCATAAAGGACTTCACCACAGTTTTTTTACTGGATATACTGAGTGCCCAACTGATAACACAGATCGTGATACTTTAATAATTCGCGCAACACTGCGGTTGTGATTGCAACTCGAACAAGCCCAGACTTTCGTTATTGTGCATTGACTTCTTTTTTACAAAAGTTAAAAAAATTAACAGTCAAAAATTTCAACCATTCGGGAAACAAAACTACATTTCGTGTCCAGTGTTTGCGAAATGGGGTTAATTTTATTATCAGGCCAATTCTTAATACTTCCGGGGAGTTTGTTCTCCGGGAATTTGTTTCTCCCGAGAAAGAAATCCACCAATAATTAACTCCCAGGTAGTAGCTTTTTCCCCGAAAACTTGGGAGGAGGAAATTCCAACATCAAAAAAGCTGTTTGACGCTTTTGAGAGCTCAACTTGGCCATTTAATATAAAAAATCCTCGGGGGAATTTTTATTCATGATAGGAGGAAAGGGAAAAGAGAGGAAACTCTCGGGGAGTTTCTGTTCAGAATCGGCCAGTATTCCTAGGACTGCATTTACACCCAATTTACACCTGTGCATGAACGAAGACACAAGATCACGTAAGAACAAGGGAGTGAAAAAAGTTGATTTTTTGAGCGGGTTCTACGCCATCTGGTTTCGCTGGAAAACGAAAAAAAGTAAAAGCAAAGAAAACCAGAATTAACCAAAATTATTGCAAGTCATTTTAAACATACGATTCGGCTAAAATGATTCATTAAAAAGCTTTAAAACATGTCGTGTTGAATTAACTCTTTAGTTAAAGAAAAGCGTAAAGTGTGATGTAAACAAATGCTCAGCTGACGAACCCGCTTTGGTAAACTTTTCTCAAAACCAGTTACAAATACAACGTCGCGTTCTTGCCTGGTTTTAAATTTTTGGTTCATGTGTGCGGAGTTGTCTGTCATCACACGCAACTTGGACGCATGGAAGTAAGGGTATGATTATGCATATTTCGCATAACTTCGCACAACCATTTGTACCAGAGCACTAAAAGTGTAGCTTAAGAAAATGTGAAGCTAAATCTAAACTCAATATCGCCAAGTTTTTAAAAGTTCTGCTAACTTCTGGGTAATGGAATACATACAAAGTACATACGAAATTACAGTTTGAAGTTTATGCGAAGTTGTGCGAAGTTATGCGAAGTATGCGTAATCCGACCATAACACCACCTTGTATAAATTCGCCCTAGCGTGAACGTTGGCAAGGCAAAGAATTTCATTTGTATGCTTACTAGATGTCTCCACAGGCAAAAGTTTTTATCTTGATAATGTTACGAGGCAAAATTTTGCCCATGGAGACCGCATATTGCTCTTGGCAAGCATAAATTAACAGAGCTTTTATCTTGATAAATATTGCCAGCAATTTGGTACTTTGACAGCTACATTTTCATTTGCCCGATAGCTTCGTGGAGACAACATTATTGATATTTCGATATAAAGGCAAAAATTTAGCTGTTTTCTATTAAATATTTGTTATTATTCGCTTGGGTGTGAAATAGCATATGTTTTAAATTTTTATGTGATGAAATCCGGAAAAAATAGCCACCTTACAAATGCTTTTATCAAGATAAAAAATCATGATCCAACTACACAAGATCTGACCTAAATGTAAAAATAGGCATGTTTTATTCAACCATCACAAGCAAATAGCTAAATCTTGGTCAAATAAAACGAAATTATTTCCTATGTTAGCCTAATTTTGACAGTTGTTTGACTGCAAATAGCGTCAGAGTAAGTTTTTGCCTCTTAGATTGGTGTTATGCAGAAATTTTGTTTGGCAAACTGCGTGCAATTGTTGTTGCACCAAACTCGGAGAGAGCGAGTTTGGCGACTCTCACAGCAAACTAATTTTGTTTGGTCAAACTGCAGCAAATTCGGTGTTGTCATATACAAAAATTTTAAATTGTGCGCGTTATGTATACCTGAAATTCTCATTTCGTGTTGGCAATAGCCATGAAAACCATAATGAACGTGCAACCCTGTGCCAAACTCGACATAACCACCTCCGAGCAAACTAAGCAGCCGCCATTTAATTTGGCAAACAAAAGTTTGTCTGCATAACACCGACCTTTCTGATTGGCTGAAGGAGAAAATTTCCGATGCTGAATGGCAATGCCTCTTGTTCAATATATAAGCCAAGATAACTTTTCATAAGCCAATATAATTATGTTGGGTAAGTCCTCCATACAAAATAAGCTAATAGCTTAAATTTCTGGACAAATAAAACACGGATAATGATGTATTTGTTGTACAGAAGCGGAGAACAATGATTTGACACCATCTTCTTTGAAAATTTCTATAAGATAACCGAAATTAAGAAAATAAAAATCGCTTTGGTTTCAGCTATTACGCCGATCTGTAATTTCTGGATCGGCTTTCGGCACAAATTTGATTTCCTTCTCTCACTAGGTACTTTTCATGTACTCGCTCTCAGATTTTCGTTCAACAAACGAATGCGCCATGTTTGTTCGCTCCATCGCGCACAATTGCTACAAACTCCAGTGCGGGAACATAATGATCCAACAAAACGTTGTGAAACTGGAACGAAAGAAAACAAAGAAATATAAACAAATGACGCTTTCACAGTCAATCACAGAACCGCGTAAATTGTATAAACTACACTGATTTATTTCGTTCTTTGCCGGTAAATTTGTAAAATATGTTTTCCTATGAATTACCCGATGGAGGTTTACGTGCTCGTTGTTATATAAATTCCGAGGGCGACATCAAGTTTGATCCTCCTGTGTACGAGCAACGGTATACTACAGCAGTGCGCATACTGGAAGACTCACGGTGGGGACACAAATTTAAAAAAGTGAGGCAGTACTTGGATTCATGTTTGCTTAAATTTTGTACATATATTAACACTAAGTTGTATATTAATTTACGTAAATATAGGTTGTGGACTTCGGTTGTGCCGATATGCGATTGTTATCGCTCCTGCGACGCGTTGAAGGCATTGAGCAGATATTAGAGGTATGTAAGTTTACACTTTCTTCGACTCACCAAACAAACTTTTATCAAAAGGATAATGGGTGTAAAGCAGCACATGGGTTTTCGAATATAATATATGTCTCTATAGTTCACAAACCCAGCATCACTTTTGCCCTTTTATTGGGTGACCATGGTGTTGGTTTTGTAACAGCTTACAAATTTCTCAAGGAGTTTTTTTTGGGAGTGATTATAAAATTACAGATCTTGGCCAGATTTAAATCTGGGTCGTTCCGTTTTCGTAGACCTGACTGTCGTGGTAACGGTGACCATGTCGTTTTTTAAAGCGCTTCTCTTGTCAGGTCATAATAGGGATAGGAACTATTTCTGAATGCACTTTAAGTTCGTTTTTCGTGAAATTTTCGAAAATGCTATCACTGAATTCGAATACCTAAGAACGTAGCATGTATTTATACATATGTTTATACGTCCATATCAATTGTGATTCAGTGATGGGATTTAAGTAGATTTAATGATAATGGGACCGCCAAATATTCATCAATAGCCCCGATTCTTTTAATTCTTGAAACGTTAATCGATAGGCAAATGTACATAAGTATTTATACTGACCTAACTAATTCGAAGAGCACTGCATTTTTGTCAACAGTCGTGGCTTGAGCTCATCTGCTCACTTGCAGGAGTGCCCGACCACTTGCTCAATTTGGTTAATATCACTAATATCGCTTGAATTAGTTTGGATAACGTTATTATTAAGTTCGACCCGAGCGCAAATTAGGGGAAGTCTAACACAACTTAAATTACGAGAACTTATTCGTAAGATCCGGAACACGGAACAAGCTTTTCCCTGAGTTTAAGTCAGGTTTGGTTTGCCGGATAACTCAGCAATGTTGTGATTTATCCAGATTAATTAAATTATAATACCGTATTTCGATGGCTGAGTGGAAGATCGAACTATTTTGGCAGCGGGTTTAAAAACGCTCTATCTCAGAAAACTATCAAGAAGACCTTACTTCAGAATTCGGTGAAGAACGCTCTATTTCAGAAGTTTATTGAAAACCGCCCTATTTTAGAATTTGGTTCAAATTCAACTGAAAATATGTTGAGATAGGGAACCGAATTCTGAAACAGAGCGTTCTTGAAAAGTTTTCTGAGGTTGGGCGTTTTCGAACTGGCTGCCAATATATGTAGATCGATCTACTACCTGCCCGTCGATTCGCTATCGTAGCACCAAGTGGTTATGTTTTGTGAATTTTGTAATTATTCTAACTAAAAATCAATACCGATATGTTTTTGCACTTCTCCACAGGGTTGAATAAATCTGCGCATGCTATCATTTTTAGTATCGAAACTTTAGGCCTGAGTTGGCCGAAGGTCGAAAGCTTTTACCATTTCCGCCACCTAGTGTAGTGTGCGATACTTCAGATTTCTTCATTCCTAAGCAAAAATATCACATAACAAATTACAGTAAAATGGAAGTACAATTGGTACTTCCACTGTGCGACACCTCCACCAGGGTTGTGGGTAGCTGCAGCAGCTCGGTAGACTTAACAATAGCTAGCGCGGGTATGATAAATAGCATCGCGGAAGTTCGCTCTAACTTTCCGCCGAAAGCTGTCGTACAATGCAATGTGGGAGTTATATATATCAAAGTACTTCGCTTATCAACCCACTTAGACCACAATTTTAAGTTCGCGTGCATATTAATAAAAACACTTTTATTTAATCTGTTTATTTTATTTTTTATTTAATGTTTGTATAATCCTATGAAGTTTAATGGTTTTTATTATGAATTCCTTTATTTAATGGCTAATATATAGGTATTTTTCTTAAGTATGCAATAATAATAAAAGATTAAACAAATTAAAAAACACAAATTCTTGGTGTATTGGCAATTGATCAGTTATGGTTTTGCGTATAAAAATAACTAATTGCAAACATACTAAAGGAAAACAAGTGAATGCATATTAATGTACTTGTAAGCACATACTGATGCTACGGTGTTCAACATCGCTATGTTATGTGGGCACTTACAGTTCCACATAGGCTAAGGGCTGGACTATAACGGAAAGGCCTTCATTATGACCCAGATGCACATATGTATTAGATGCAAACAAACTAAGAAATATAAGAAGAATTATGTATAACATTTACATTAACAGCAAAACTTACAAGCTATTTGCTTAAATCAGGCGATTGGGTGTAATCGTCAATAAAATATCGCCGTTGATAATGTTGACAAAGTGCACATGTATACATATGGAAAAACAATTGCTCGGGAAAGGCTTTTACAATTCAAAATTATGCTTGTGCATTGCATTTAAAATGTTAAGTCTTGGAAGAAAACAACTCCATCCAAACGATGAACATTCATTACAGTATTTGTGTGCGCCTGGTGTGTCTTCTTCATTTACTGTTCTGCTCATAAATCAATACGGCACGATCCTATTTAAATTTTTTAGACTTTACCTAAATCTAATTACTTATGTTTAAAGAGTAATGTGTTTGCTGAATATTTATACAAAATGTACAGCAGTTGTTCACGCTATTATGGATTTATATTTTATAAATAAACTCGAAAGTAGTTCAAAATATGTATATTTTCAGCGGCAATAGTATTTGAATTTTTTATCCACGTTTTATAACTGCTAAATTATTCTGAACCAATTGTAAAAACAACTCAACCCTAGAATTCTGTGTTTACGTACTTGTTTACATTTTGGGCATGCGATCATAATAAAATTAACTATTATGCATAAAATATTGTATAATGTTATTCAAATGTTTTATTTTTATTATGAGTTCCTTTGTTACAATTTTAACTTTGCTCACCCCTTTTCGAATTTTCTTCGCAAATTGTGTTAAACGTGTTGTGTTAAAAATGTAAACATGCCATGAATATTATCTATAACCTTTCCTTCGGTTAATTTCTTTTTTGTAATGGGTCTTCTGCACTACTCTAGTTTATTCTATGCCATTGAAGCATTCAAATTAATGCTTATTTAAATTAAAGTACAATAGTTGAAAACAGTGTAAAATTTAGAAATATTACAAAGTTTCTCTGGAACCTCTAAATGTATGTATGTATACGTTTATTTTTTCACTTCTTACAGTGTCGGGTTGATGCCGCTGCAGCGGCATTGCTGCCACGATAGTAAATATTTTCGTTATTGATTTTTTTCCAGACGTTGAATAAACTACAAACATCCGGACTGAAATTTGAATTACTTTCCTGTTGATCCATTGGATCATCCATCTCTGTATCAGTCTTAATTAAGCAACGACGAGTACGTCGTTCTGGCCTTCCACTTGCACTGCTGTTACTAACCGTAGCGTGATCGACATTTTGCATAGCATCATTACTACAACCTTTACGATTACTACGCGTTGTACTGGCACTAGAACGTTTGCTAATAGACTTTGTGACAGGTTGGCTTGTTCTTGATTTATTTACATGTGGTGTTGTTTTGGCTGTAGATTTTACTGAACGCTGCTTTACGCTGCCTCGATTTCGAACTTCCCTGTCTGAAGATTTCATTGGCACCTTTGTTCTGGTTGATCGGGTGTTGTGTGCTCGTGTATTACGTCCACCGTTAAGCACAGAGTTGGTGTCTTCAGTAGAATCTGTATCGACGTCTTCTTCTTCCTCCTCCTCGTCATTATCATCATCATCGTCTTCGCTTTCATCGTCACAATCATCTCCATTGTCTTCTGGTTCATCTGTCTCGTCCACTTCCATGTCCTCCTGCTTATCAGTGTATAGCTTTTAATATTTATGACAATATCAAACCTAAAGAAATTTACCTCTTCCTGGCCGTCATCATCCTGATCTTCGTCAGTTTGATTATCTTCTTGTTGTGAATCGCAATTCTCTTCTACTAGCCTCCCGCTTAATTTTAAGCGTTGTTGTATCTCAAGTATAGCATACGTTGGCTTTCCCTCATACCGACGCGCTACTGGTTGTTGAACTTCACTCAATTCCTCCTCACGATCGAACTCCTTTTCTGCGCGTTCGCGTGCGATCTGATCGGGATCTTGTGATAGTATTTCCGCCCAAGAGAACTTTTTCTTTTTCATTGATTTCTTGTCAGATTTAGACCTCAAATTTTTCGGCGACACTCGATTGGATAGAGTGCGCTCATGGAATGGTGTGCCAACTGACAAGTTCATAATACTCCATGCTGCGTTACCGTTATGTTTATTCATTTCGAATATATCATTTTTGTTCTCGATTTCTTCTTTAACGCGCACACAACTGCGGGCAATTTCGTTGCTGTCCAAACGCAATTCACCAAGTGAATATCCGAGTTGTTCAAACTCACGTTCGAATAAGCGACGATACCGTGCATAATCCGGACGAGCGTGGTAGGCCAATTGGCCAACTTGATGTAGAAATTCACCCAAATATTTAGGAACTTGTTTGCCATAGATTTGCTTTAGCATTTCGCGCACATCGGTCATTAGGTACTCTTTAGCACGATGTACCTTTTCTTGTTGATGTTGTGTTGCAGCATCTTTCCATGGCAAATAGCCTTGAGACCAAAATATTAAATTATATCCCAAACATTCTAGGTCACTGCGGCGTGAATGGGCACCCATGTGAGCATCACGCGATGTAAATTCTAAAGTGCCATCATGTGCGCGGCGCTGATCCATAACAAAAGGGCGATGTACCCCATTATCCATAAACTTGGAAGCCAAACCGAAATCAATAAGGAAGATACGTTCTTCCTCGACTGCTACAAGCGATTCCGCAACTGCAGTTGTAGCTGAATTTAAGTTTCCAGTGTCACTAGACAAATGCTTGCTGGTACTCAAACTATTAATGAGTTTTTCTTGACGCCGTGTTAAGCGTTTTGGGGCGGTAGTTGTGTAGGTATTTGAAGAGTGGCTGGACTTTTTGATAGCTGCCGAACGACGAGCGGAACTTGGTAAAAATTCTTCGGAATCGTCATCAGATGCGATCGACTTTGAATCAGCTGTGTCTTCTTTTACAGAAATACCATCCTCGTTAAAGAATTCCGAATAACTAATACGTTTTGCGGGTCGTAAATAATGTGACTTAACCATCTCCTCATAGATGGAATTTCTTTTTTGTCGCCGACATGAGCGTACCTGAAATCAGTGAGAACTCATATATTAGAATGCATATGTAGAAAACGTTTTTTTATTTTTCAACTTACTGGATTAGATCCACTGTATTCTACTACAGTGTTGCGTGGTCGGCGCTTTCGATTGCGATTTACAGGAGTTTCGTAAATGTCTACAGTATTGCTATTGTTACTATTTGTTGTGGCGCCATCATCAAAGTCCTCATCCTCCTCCTCATCTTCGTCGACAAACATTTTCCGTTTAACAACAAAATCAGCGTCGTCGTCATCGTCATCGTTCGCTTCTTGCTCTGAACTATTGCCGCTATCTGTAGTCTGCTGTTTTTCCTCGTAATGTTCATCATATTTCGAAGACTTTAGATTAGAAGAGCGTGACGATTTACCATTGCCCGTTGTGACTGGGGCAGTTGCAGTTTGTTTTTTATAATACTTGCATTTGGAAATCATAAGATTTTGCGCTTTGACATCGTTATGGCAATAGCCCTTGTCATGTAGCTTTTCCAAAACATTTACTATCTGTATTGCTAGAGTTAACACAGATTTTTGGTGGACACGACAATTTTTAATTAAAGAGTGTAAATCGCGATCGAACCGTTGCAATACTAGAAACCGGTAGCGTGCATCTCCGAAATAGTGAGAGCCGGATGCAATGTAGTTTGGTATACCAGACGGAGGATTTTGCGGTAAAGATGCTGCGATATTCTGCTGCCTAATCGAATTTTCCTTTTCCGCTTTCACATGGTTAGCTAAACACAAAAATTCAAAATAAGGCCATTGTAATGTACATATGTAATTTACTAATGTTTTAACTTAATAGAAAATTCCTTACAGTCATCTTTGGCAGTGTTCATTAAACAATGAATTTCCACAAATAACGGTCCGTTTGAATGCGGTTCGATTTTCACAACGAATTTAGCATTCTCGTTAGATACAGGAATGGTGATGTTGTCTGAAGCCAAAAAAATTTCACCAAAATTTCCCTTTCCTAAAAAAATAAACGTTTTAATTTTTACATAAAACGTTTGTTAAATTTTTCGTTATTAAGCCATAACATCCCTGCAAACCATACGCTCAGAGTGTTCTTAATAGTTGGAAAAATTGGAAAAACTTAAAGAACACATTAGTTGCGTTCCAGATGCTTCACGATTTGCAGGTTTTTACAGGAAGTCGTTCCAGGTGACCACCTCCCATAAGGTTTATTAATGGGGAAAACAGCTGTTCCTGCAAATCGTGAATTTCGTGAATATCGTGAAGCATCTGGAACGCAACTATTATTTCCTTTTCTAATTGTTTTGGCGAATTTTCCAAGATACTTTAATTCTTTTACGAAATTTCGGAAGAGCTTTGGGTCTTGTTAGAAATTCACATCGAACGTAATACTTTAATGATTCGCGCAATACTGAGGCTGTGATTGCAATTCAAGCAAGCCCTTGTTTTGCAGGGATGAATGTAGTATATAAAGATAATTAGGGCTATCACGGAATCCATCGTAGTTCGATTTTTAATGAAATCTACGAAAATGCTATTACTGAATTCGAATACCTATGAACGGTACATATACTTTGAATGCAATACGTTCATACCAATTCGGATTCAGTCATCGCATTTTAGTAGATTTCACAAAATCCGACTATGATGGGTTCAGCGATAGCCCGGACTATGCAGATACATAGACAAATATATATAATAACGACTTTAAATAACATACATAGTATGTATACGCTTACGTTCATAACTTCAATTATTGTCTTTATTTGTGACATCAGTTTCTAGTTTTATAGACATTGCAAACAAAAGAATTTTTAACATACTTAATCACTCACCAATAGGTTTACCAAGTCGCCACGGCTTCTGCATCAGGTCATACATAATAGTACCATTAACCACGGATGGCAGCAAAGTATACACTGGCTTTGGGGATTCGTTCACTGACGTATTAGCGCTAAGTAGAATCGACGAGTTGTTGGCCTGTTTTGTAGACAGATTTCTCACTTGTGGTGTTACGTTTGTGGCATCATTTGAAGACGAATCTTCGTCATCGTTTTCGTGCCAGTAGTTATGACCTCCTCGTAGTACCTTGGCTGTAGCCGAGATTACATCAGCTGCAACTCCAGAAGAATTTCTTTTTCGTTTGCGTATAGTGCGAGTTGTCGGCGTTGCATGCTTTGCCTCTGTAACTGCCATGCGTTTACCCATATTTACTCACAATTGCACAACTCTAATATGATACGAAAAAGCTATGGAAAGTTTCTGTTGGATGCCTTCACAAACATTTGTTCAAAATTTTTATGAATATGTTTGCACTCAAACTTTTTGAAGGACTGTCGGGGTTGGTGTTTCTCGAAAAAAAAATAAAATTTAACTGATGAACCGAATGTGTTTAATGCCTCCAAAACTCGAAACTTCGTACTTTTCGATAATACAAAATCAGTCTCTTTGCTCTACTTTTGTCTTCTGTAGATGTTTTTTGTTACTTTTTAAGGAACGTTCAACGTTTTTTTTTTGTTTAATCTGCCTCGACACTATTCAGCGATGAAGGTACATGACATCTGATTAAATTTGAGTTCTACTTCTTGACACTTGACCAATCGGTGTAGACTCGCTGTTTGTTCTTACTTTAGGCTTGGAAATTGCTGTTCAAATTATTTATCGCCTTTTATTCCTCCTGTTGTGATTGCCCTTTTCGTTTTTTTTTCGAAATCCATGCAAAGAAAGATGTAAAATACATACAAATTAATTAGTATTCCAAGGTGTTTAGCCTGTTCCCGTACTCTAGGATTTGCAGGTTTTACAGGAACAGCTGTCT